CGGGGGGTGCAGAAAAGCCGGTGCTGCGCCCTCCCTGCCCCAGCCCTGCTTCCCGACCAACAGCGGCTGCATCCGCTCGGCCCCCGTGAAGAAAACTTGGTTGGATTTAAAATTCCCCTTGGGACGGAGAGGGGCCCTGCTGAGGTAGGGTGAAGCTGATCGAGACAGCAGCGATCGAAGGTAAGTGGGTGCAGAGGAGGTTTGGGTAAGAAACCTTGCGCCGAGGGGAGGGGAAAGGAAGGAGCTGGCGCTTCATTCCGATATCCTGTTTTTGGCCTTTAGTTTTCTGCTGGGCTGTGTTGTCTGCTTGAAAAAAGCCCGAGTCTCCTTTTGTCTCTTCCAATGTTATTTGTGTGTGTGGGATCGTTATTTCTATGGAGGTTGCAAGAAGAATCTGGTGAGATCGAAAGTTTTTAAGCTCCTCAAACAGAAGTTTCTTTGTTCAGCAGGATGAGGTATTGAAGTGAAACTGGTTATGGTTCTCTTCTGAAATAGTTAGCCCGGCAGCTTAGTTCCTTTCTCTACAAATAAACACTTCCAAAGGGTACTGCTCTTAATTATTTTACTTGAAAGAAATCCAGAAGTTAGGAGATATTTGCTTTCCCCCCTTTACTTTCAAGGGTGTTGGTTCCTTTACTGTCGCCATCTGATATGTGCATCCTTTAAAAAGAACGACTGATCTTTCTTTCTTTGTAATCATTTGTTCACTTTACAAATAAGGTTGTGTTGTTTGTCTTCTGTTCTTCAAGATGAAGAGTTTGGCTATCTATTTCATCACTGGAGAAGAGTTAGTTTGTTTAATTTTATCTTAATACCTGGGGCAGTATAGCCAACACTTCTTGCATTGCCTTTCCTTATAGCAGAAATTGAATGATTTTCATATGCAAGACATATACCTACACTTAGAACCTGTAGAAGTTTATCCTGGTAAAATCTGATGTAGTCGAAAGAATGGAAGATACTATACTTTAATATGAGTTACTATAAGAACTGCTTCTCAAAATTAATATGGTATAATTTGGGTAAAAACTGACAAATTTAATTTTCATTGCTTTATATGGGACTTCTAATCAAAATTTGTTTGAGATAGGAATACACACAGGCTCAATGCAATGTGATACTACAATCATCTTGTTAAGGCTATTGCAAAAGTGTGGCTACTACATATTACTTTATCTTGACTAATTTTATTTAACACAAAACATATTATACAAAGTATCTAGATGTCCTATAACAACTTGGTTTAAGATGCTTCAGAGAGCCAATGCCAGATATTGATTACACTGGAGTTCCAAAACTATATGTGCTGAGAGAGGTCTAAAAAAAATCATTCATGTATTGTATAGATTTCAAAAGAATGCATTAAAGGCCATAGCTTGGGACTAGTTTATGTTGTCCTTGATAGAAGACAGTCTAAATTATTATTCTTGAATAACGAAGTGGATGGCAGAGTGTTTTCAGTTGTACTGACTGGATATGTTGTGTGATCAGCCTGGTTTAGGAATATGGAACTGGCTTGTGTGAGAAGCGTGTGTGCCTGAGAACCAAATATATTCACTTTTATATGAACTTTTTATACTTGTTATATATGTATTTGCCCATTTTAAGAAAGTAAAACATTTAAAAATGACCCAGATCTGATAAATAACATCAGGCAGTTTTGTGTAGTGATGAAATGATTATTCATCTAGCACAGACTCATTTAGTAATAGTATTCTTTAGTGTAAAAGTGACAGATTTGTGTCAATACAAAATAGCTTTTTCAAATGATAATGCACAACTGATCTGGGTTATGATTTATAGACTTATCTTCACAGGCAACAGAAGAGGTTATTCTTGGGCATCTGAAAGAACTAAACAAAATAGATGACATTTGAACTTCATCTTCCTTCTATGGCTTATACTTGGCAGTGAAGCAATGAAGTCTAAATAGAGTAATCCTTTTATAGAGAATGATCATTTTCCAAAGCACTGCTTCATTCCTAACAATGACACGGTTCTGAAGGTGGGGGAAAATGTAGTAAAGCATGACAAATTTAGTTGTCAACTAATGTATTCCTAATGGATGCAATTTTATTTCTTTTCGGACTTTTTGTTTTTCTGATGATGTGCTAGATATTTTTCAGTACCATGTAGGAGAAGAGATCCTTGTATTTGGGGCACCAACTTTTTGAACTGGTTTTGTCATTATGGCAGCTAAAATAAGGCCCTTAAATGATGAGAGTGCAGTTCACTGCTACTTATAGCTGGTGGTTATGCCATAAAATGGTGTTCATTTCATTAACATAGTTTAGTATTCATCAGAGAATTTATTCTTTCTTGCAACCAGCAGTGTTTTCAGAATAAAAAATTACTTAAGTAATAAAATCTTTAAATTGTCATTTTTGGTGTAGGAATGTAAGTGACTAGTCAAGTAGTTGACTACCTCATAAGTCTACACGTATTGGGTAGTGGAGTCGACTACTTGACTGCTGGCATTTCCCCCTCTCCTTACTGCCTCTATATCAGAGGCATCAAGTGGAAGAGCAGGAGCCGGTGCTGGAGGGAGCTGGCTTAAAAACCAGTTCCCACCAGCACCGTCTCCGCAGTGCTGCCTGCCTTTGCCCCCACCCCCCATGCTGCTGCCTCTGTTAGCCCAGGCTCTCTGCGAGCAGAGGCTGCTCCATATTCTGTGGTAGCAGTTCTTGTCCCCGGGGGTCCCAGTGGAGAGCTGGGATCCCCAATAGACAGGGCTTCTTCTAGCACAGCCTGTGTTTGTGGCTAGAAGCAACTGGACCCGGCATGAGCCGGGACAGAGCAAGCTTGGCTCAGTCCCGGCTCATGCTCGGCCCGGCACTGCTGTGGCTCTGCAATTTAAGTAATAGTCACCCAGCTATTACTGGGACTGAGTCAAGACTGACTCAGTCCTGGGTCGTGCAGAGTCTGGGACCTATCCCCATTGTGGCTCTGCAGTTTACATGTAGTATGAGCCGGGCTGCCTGTGCACCTGGTTTCTACTACATTTAAACTGCCGAGCCGTAGCAGAGATAGCTTCTGGACCTGGTGCAAGCCGGGACAGGGTGCCTTCTCTTATCGACTAATCACGTACTCAATACAAATTGTATCGACTACATGATTAGCCAGTTACCCACCTCTTGACATCCTGTTTTGGTCAATTAATTTTATAAAACGTTAAATCTACTGAGGGTTGTGTAACTGTTATATATGTTAACCTGTCCTGTTTCAGCCAGTGTCTTCAAACATGTGTTGGTTAGGAATGTAAAATCCTGTTTTAAGCAGTTAACTGGCCTGGCTTGGAGCCCAGTGCAATCCCAGTTTAGTCCTGTCTCTCACCAGGTCCAGGAATTACCCCCACCGTGGCTCTGCCACCTTAAAAGTACTGCTAGGATTGCTCAGTCCCACTCACACCGGATCTGGGACCTACCCCCGCTGTGCCTCTGTAGTTTAAATGTAGTAGGATCCAGGAAGCCATACTTGTATCAGCTAATTGCGTAATCGATACAAATTTTATCGACTACATGGTTAGTGGATTACCTTAGTTTTCTCTTTTCCATCCTAAGCAAACCCAGTTCTTTAATCTTCCCTCATAGGTTATGTTTTCTGTACTTTTATTAACTTTTGTTGCTCTCCCCTGGACTTCTTCCAGTTTGTCCACATCTTTCCTGAAATGTGGCACCCAGAACTGGACACAATAGTCCAGATGAGGCCTACTGAGCAGAGAGTAAAGCAGAAGAATTACTTCTTATGCCCTGCTTACAGGTTCATTTTCATCATCCAAGTCAGATGTCACCAGCAGAAAGTTGATTCTTTTTTAGTGCTTCAGGTTCTGTAGTTTCCACATCAGTGTGTTGCTCTTTTAAGACTTTTAAAAGCATGTGCCACATCTCATCTCTCTCCAGTTTTGAAAGGTACTTCACATTTGTAAACATTGGGTGGAATGCTGTAGCTATGTTTAGAAATCTCTCACTTGTACCTTCTTACATTTAGTCATATCTGCAGTGATAGTGTTCTTGAAACAAACAACAAATGCTGGGACATCATCAGAGACTGCATGAAATATATGACAGAATGTGGGTAAAATAGAGCAGGAGATATGCAGTTCTCTTGCAAAGAGTTCAGTCACTAATTTAATTAACTTTTTTTTAACAAGTGTCATTAGCATGGAAGTATGTCCTCCAACAGTGGTTAATGCAACAACGGGCATACAAATGTTAAGCGTATCTGGCACACAAAATACCTTGCAGTGACAGCAACAAAAGTGCCATGCAAACACTTACTCTTGCTTTCAAGTGACATGAATAAGAAATGAGTAACCATAGTTTATATTTATGGGAAGTAACTTGTTTGTTTTAGCGATTAGCTGAACAAGAAGTAAGACTGAATGGGCTTTGTTAGATTTTTAATTGCAGTTATTTAACAACAAAAAGAATCTGTTTGTAAATTTACATTTGTAAATTCCACTTTATGATAGAGATTGCAGTACAGTACTTGGAAGAGGTTAATTATTTATAATTTTTAAAGTGCAAATATTTATAATATAAAGTGAGTACCGTACACACGATATTGTATTATAATTGATATCAATATATTAGAAAATGTAGAAAAAATAGCCAAAACATTTAACCAATTTCTATTGGTTTTCTGCCATTGTTTAACAGCACTATTAAAATTGTGACTAATCGTGGTTACTTTTTGAGTTAATTGTGTGAGTTAACTGCTATTTATCAGCAGCCCTACTTTTTTTTTTCCTTTGATGGCATCTATGCATTATGTATGCCTTTAAGGTAAAGGGGAATGAACTTTCCCAGGGGCTTAGAATATATTTAATACTTTTTAGTAAAGTTTGATACGGTGATTTCCACTTCAATGTAAAAAGTTTTTTTTTTTTTTTCACCTTTACAACTTTATACCATTTTTGGTTTACTTCCTTCAGAAACGAAAAGTTTCCTCTGCTCAATTTGATGGGTATGCTTCTATTATTTTAGGATTGCTAATAAATCTCTTGTTTTTTTGAGAATATGTACATTTATGAGAATATTAAACGTAGGCTCCTCAGTGATGAATCTTCCTTCTAGGGATGTGAACAGATAACCGGTTACCCAGTAAGCATTGCCTACTGGTTAACTAGTAAGTGGACCTGGGAGCAGCCGTGCGGGGGTCTGGAGCCAGCCGTCCTGAGT